TACAGTAGTCTTGCGTGCAGTAAAATCTGCTCTCAGTACAATAGTCTTGAGTGCAATAAGATCTGCTCTCAGTACAATAATCTTGAGTGCAGTAAGATTCTGCATCTACAGTATCTGCCTAATACAATCTTGAGTGCAGTAAGATATGCTCTCAGTTAAAACAGTTATGTCTCTATGGAGTGCAATAAGATCTGCTCTCATACAATAGTCTTGAGTGCAGTAAGATCTGCTCTCAGTACAATAGTCTTGAGTGCAGTAAGATCTGCTCTCAGTACAATAATCTTGAGTGCAATAAGATCTGCTCTCAGTACATTAGTCTTGAGTGCAGTAAGATCTGCTCTCAGTACAATAGTCTTGAGTGCAGTAAGATCTGCTCTCAGTACAATAGTCTTGAGTGCAGTAAGTTCTGCTCTCAGTACAGTAGTCTTGAGTGCAATAAGATCTGCTCTCAGTACATTAGTCTTGAGTGCAGTAAGATCTGCTCTCAGTACAATAGTCTTGAGTGCAGTAAGATCTGCTCTCAGTACAATAGTCTTGAGTGCAGTAAGATCTGCTCTCAGTACAATAGTCTTGAGTGCAGTAAGATTTGCTCTCAGCACAATAATCTTGAGTGCAGTAAGATCTGCTCTCAGTACAATAGTCTTGAGTGCAATAAGATCTGCTCTCAGTACAATAGTCTTGAGTGCAATAAGATCTGCTCTCAGTACAGTAGTCTTGAGTGCAGTAAGATCTAAGTAAGTAAGTAAGTAAGTAAGTAAGTTTATTCAGGTATACAGAAATACAGTTACATAGAATTATCGTACATAGCAGCATATGTGTAGAGAACCTAGGATAACCCAAAAAAGTCAGACAGAGTCACTTATTTCCATTGGGGTCCTTTAAATGTAATTCTTGAGTGCAGTAAGATCTGCTCTCAGTACAATAGTCTTGAGTGCAGTAAGATCTGCTCTCAGTACAATAGTCTTGAGTGCAGTAAGATCTGCTCTCAGTACAATAGTCTTGAGTGCAGTAAGATCTTCTCTCAGTACAATAGTCTTGAGTGCAGTAAGATCTGCTCTCAATACAATAGTCTTGAGTGCAGTAAGATCTGCTCTCAGTACAATAGTCTTGAGTACAATAAGATCTGCTCTCAGTACAGTAGTCTTGAGTGCAGTAAGATCTGCTCTCAGTACAGTAGTCTTGAGTGCAGTAAGATCTGCTCTCAGTACAGTAGTCTTGAGTGCAATAAGATCTGCTCTCAGTACAATAGTCTTGAGTACAGTAAGATCTGCTCTCATTACAGTAGTCTTGAGTGCAGTAAGATCTGCTCTCAGTACAGTAGTCTTGAGTGCAGTAAGATCTGCTCTCAGTACAGTAGTCTTGAGTGCAGTAAGATCTGCTCTCAGTACAGTAGTCTTGAGTGCAATAAGATCTGCTCTCAGTACAATAGTCTTGAGTGCAATAAGACCTGCTCTCAGTACAGTAGTCTTGAGTGCAATAAGATCTGCTCTCAGTACAGTAGTCTTGAGTGCAGTAAGATCTGCTCTCAGTACAATAGTCTTGAGTGCAGTAAGATCTGCTCTCAGTACAATAGTCTTGAGTGCAGTATTATCTTATAGGTACATAAACACTTCATTACCAAGATTTAACCTTGAATAACCTAATCAAGTCAAAGACTTTGACTTTTATCTGATCAGAAGAAACATTCATCAGTTACTTCACAGTAACAATTTGTTTAATAAAACTGATACATTGCAATTTACTCAGTCTAAAACAAATAGAAGTTTCCTTTGATAAAACTGAAGCATTTTCCAGAAACTGGAATGAATCCAAGAAATTCAAGTTTACTATGTTAATATATAGGGAAATTTGATCTACTCTGCCTAACCATCATCCCCCAGATGTTTCATCCCACAGATGTTTCATTCCCCAGATGTTTCATGCCCCAGATGTTTCATCCCCCAGATGTTTCATTCCCCAGATGTTTCATGCCCCAGATGTTTCATCCCCCAGATGTTTCATTCCCCAGATGTTTCATGCCCCAGATGTTTCATCCCCCAGATGTTTCATCCATCTGATAAGATGTATCTGTCTTAAGATGTTGATATCGTTCACATTATTTTATGCAGGGAAAGGCGCTAAACCCGTAGGTGATATATAACACTTGGGGAATGGGAGGCATTCAGGTTCGATTCAAGGAACAGGAGGATAAGTCCATTTCCTTGGATCAAGAACCTCAATGCCCACTCCATATTCAAGAATTAGAAATTATAACTATCAAAATGGTATTTATACACATCAATGTCAGTTGTGGACGAGTGGAATAAACTCCCGAGTGACCGTCATAGAAGCTAAAACGTTAGGTAGTTTTAAAAATAGGTTAGATAAATACATGAGTGGGTGTGAGTTGGACCTGACCAGCTTGTGCTACTAGGTCAATTGCCGAGCTCCTTTCTAAGTGAATAGGACCTGACCTGACTACTTTAATGCATTGGCCTAAGCCGGTGGGTGAATTAGACCCGCCTCGCATAGGCCAGTAGGCCTGCAGCAGTGTTCCTCCTTTATGTTCTTATGTTCGTACTGTGTAGGAGACACGTCTATGAAAACTTTGAAGCTGGTAAGAAAAGGCTTTTAAAATTTATTGCTTATAGATCAACTAAAATTCTCACACACAATGAAACTATTTGTGTGTGCTTCTGGCACTTTATAGATTGGTTCATTCTTGGACCTTGATACTTTTTGTGAGTTTTGCTGTACTAGTCACTGTTTACTTTTTATGAAGTGTTGGAAGTGAGACTAAACAGTCATTGTAATAATGTTGGTAGAATTACCGACAATATGTAAAGTAAAAGGACACAAGTGCAACTAATGTGACATTTATTGTGGCAACGTTTCGCTCTCCAGGAGCTTTATCAAGCTTTATCAATGGCTTGATAAAGCTCCTGGAGAGCGAAACGTTGCCACAATAAATGTCACATTAGTTGCACTTGTGTCCTTTTACTTTATATAAACAGTCATTGTTCCAACTTACGAACAACTGTGAACCAGCCGCACCCATGTCTGGAACTAACAGTTATATATCTCATCTCCGCACACCTCTTGGGAAGGAGTAAGGGCTATCCTGTTAGTTACTTAAAAATGAAAGAGAGCTCTCCTCTTGATTAGAGATAATTTCAATAAATTGATGTGTCCAGTTTATAGTCGCCTTCCAGATAAGGGACTATAAAAGGTTCGCTGCTCGATAATGAGAGACGGGGAATGATCAGGCCTCGCCTGGTCACGGAAAATTATTTTTTAAATAAAATTATACCTTTATTAAAATAAACCACTTTAAAACAATAAACTCAAAATGAGAACCATGTATTATTTTAATAAGTATATAAACCATGAAAGTTTGATATCTATACACAAATAAACCGCACATAAAAGAGAGAAGCTTACGACGACATCTCGGTCCGTCTTGGACCATTTACAAAGTCACACTAACCAGAAGTGGAGCAGGGCTGCTATATATAGGCAGAAGGGGTGGTGGTAGTGGTAGTAGTAGTAGTACAAGAATGGTATATAATACCGACAAGATGAAATTAAGACACACTGGCTCGTCCTCCTTGTTCCCCACTTCTACCACTACCACTACTACTACCTCTTCTACTACTACTACTACTGATGAAATTGAGACACATGTGCGGCGTCTGGTTGTCTTTGTTGTGGACGTTTCGCCATCCAGTGGCTGGCTGGATGGCGAAGCGTCTACGATAGGGATGCCCGGGTGTTGCGCATGTCTTAATTTCACCTTGTCGGTATTATATACCATTCTTGTACTACTACTACCACTACCACCACCCCTTCCTGCCTATATAAAGCCGTCCTGCTCCACTTCTGGTTAGTGTGACTTTGTAAATGGTCCAAGTCGGACCGAAACGTCGTCGTAAGCTTCTCTCTTTTGTGTGCGGGTTATTTGTGTATCGTTCCAGTCACGGTATTGTGCCTTTTTTTGTTATTTGATATCTATCTGATAAAGAACTTTCCACTAATTTCTCTGATTCCGTCTCTTCAAAGTTCCAAAAATTTCACCATAAAGGGTGTCATTCCTCTTACTGACTGAGTCAGAGTTAATATTTTGAAGTTGATCAGATGAGAGCAAATCATGTATCACTTTATATTTAACAAAATTTTCAAAATGAAAGTTAAACAGTGTATTAAGAGCACGAACTTCGTCTTCTGGGAAACTTACCAGACAAGAAAGTTTGAGGCCGATATGAAGGATAGGGGGGATATGATAACGACATATAAAATACTGAGAGGAATCCACAAGGTGGACAGAAACAGGATGTTCCAGATATGGGACACAGCAACAATTGGTCACAATTGGAGGGTGAAGACTCAAATGAATCATAGGGATGTTAGGGAGTATTTGTTTGGTCACAGAGTTGTCAGAAAATGGAATAATCTGGAAAGCGATCTAGTAGAGGCAGGATCTATACATAGCTTTAAGAAGAGGTATGATAAAGCTCATAGAGCATGAAGAGTGACCTTGTAGCGACCAGTGAAGAGGTGTAGCCACGAGCTGTGAATCGACCCTTGCAACCACAGCAAGGTGAGTAGAAAAACAACCCTTTTTCACCCCTTACACAGGAATTGCCTGATTTTTCTGCTCCTGGTAAACTGGTTGTTTTGCCTGGTCCTGGTAATGGGATAACAGGCAGCACTGACCATGTCTTCAAGGGACGCTCCTACACCTGCTCTAGGACACATTATTCCTGACGACACCACTAACCCTAACTGGCAGGGGAAAACAAATCCATTCTCCCCACTAATAACAATCGTACAGATTACGTTTCCTCGTTGCCAGACTTAGCGGTGCTGTTTCCTAATTTGCAAATTTGTTGTTAACTAACCTAATCTATGATAAAAAAAATAAAGAAAATAATTGTCGAAAACGTACACGATGCGTTAAAAATGGCTTTGGCTGCTTTATGAGAAAATTGATGACGTAATGTGAGGAAAGACGTAATACTCACCTTTAGTGTACTGGAGTGAGATTCAAGAGTGCGACCGTAGCGAAGTTCTCCGAACACCCAGTCCTGAATGACCCTCTGCACCAGCTGGTTCTCCGGGTCAACGATCCTCAGGGCAGTGACATTGGTGCCGCCGTGACGGAAGTCTTCCAGGTCCACCGTGTGCAGGTCCTGTCGACATCACCACATCGTTGTTTAATATATTGTTCTTTTTTTGTATGTTGTATAGGGAATACTTGGTGCAATATTTGTATATGTAATATTAAAATGGGGATATTTTACTTGGGATACAAATTCATACCAGGGAACATCATGGTCTACCTACCTGGAGTCTACCTGGAGGGTATTCCGGGGAACAACGCCCCTGCAGCCCGGTCCACCACCAGGTCTCCCAGTGGATCATGCTTGATCAACCAGGCTGTTACTCCTGGCCGCACGTAGTCCAACGTACGAACCACAGCCCGGCTGATTCGACACCGACTTTAGGTATCTGTCCAGCTCCCTCTGGAAGGCAGCCAGGGGTCCTATTGGTAATTCCCCATATGCATGGTGGGAGGCTGTTGAACAGTTTTGGGCCCCGGACACTTATGGCGTTTTCTCTTAGTGCACCAATGGCGGGGAGCCATTGGGGGTATTTTGCATCGCCTGCCCAGTCTTTTACTTTCTTAGGGAGTAATTTCTGTGTGCAGATTCGGAACCATTCCTTCTAGGATTTTCTAAGCGAAGGTTATGATATATCTCTCTCGCTTGTGTTCCAACGAGTACAAGTCAAGTGCTTCCAAGCGTTCCCAGTAGTTGAGGTGTTTATAGAACTTATATGTGCAGTAAAGGTTCTCTGTACACTCTCTAGATCTGCAATTTCACCTGCTATGAACGGAGATGTTAATGTGTAACAGTATTCCAGCCTAGAGAGAACAAGTGATTTGAAAAGGATCATCATTGGCTTGGCATCTCTTGTTTTGAAAGTTCTCATTATCCATCCTATCATTTTTTTGCAGTTGTGATCGTGGCACTGTTGTGATCCTTGAAAGTGAGATCTTCACACATTACCACTCCCAAGTCCCTCACATTATTTTTCCGCTCTGTTGTATGATCTGAGTTTATAGTATACTCAGTTCTAGTTATTATCTCCTCCAGTTTTCCATAACGGAGTAGTTGGAATTTGTCTTCATTGAACATCATATTGTTTTCCGTTGCCCACTGAAAACTTGTTTATATCATCTTGGAGGTTAACAGTGTCCTCAATAGATGACAGTCTCATGCTGATCCTAGTATCATCTGCAAAGGATGACACGGTGCTGTGGATTACATCTCTGTCTATGTCTTAAATGAGGATGAGGAACATGATGGGGGCGAGTACTGTGCCTTGTTTAACAGAGCTTTTCACTATGGCAGCTTCCGATTTAACTCTGCTGCCCACTCTGCTGTTAGAAAGTTGAAAATCCATCTGCCCACTTTGCCAGTTATTTCTTTAGCACGTATTTTGTGCGCTATTACTCCATGATCGCACTTGTCAAAGACTTTTGCAAAGTCTGTATATATTACATCTGCATTATGTTGTTCTTCCAGTGCATCCAAGACTATATTATAGTGATTGAGACACTTATTCATCATATGGGAATCTTTATTGAAGAAACGTTTCGCCACACAGTGGCTTCATCAGTCCAATACAAAGTTGGAAGGTAAAGAGAGGAGAGTTTGAGGTAATCAGTCCCTCAGCCTGGAATCGATGTGTTCAGTCCATCACTCTTGCATAAGTGTCTCAATTCTTCAACTTGTCGGTTTCCAAACCATTTATCACATAAGTGATCCAGTAGTAGCACACTACATGTTGTGCCAAACTCTGGAGTTTTTTTGGGGGGGATTCTACGATGCCATGAACGAGTAAAATATTAACCGACATTTTTATATTTCATGGCCAACGTGTGAGACTTAAACTCACATCTCTCGCATTAGCCAGGCTGAGATATCAGAATTATGGTGGCCCGTGGTCGCTGACACATACAGTGTATGGCACTACGTGAACATTTTCCATCAAGATCATATCACAAATGTATCCGGGATAAAGCACAGGAAATCTCAAAAATGTGAGCAGATAAACCAGAGATGAACCCGCAAGACTGAGAAGAAATACTTAGTGACCTCTATGAATGATGTAACATTAAAAGCCAAATGCGATACAAAACTCTGACTGCAACATTAGAAAAAAATGACAGGAAAAAAAACCTGGTAATGAGACTAAAGGAGAAAGAACAGCTCTTGAGAAGCGACAAATCTAAGAGAGCTAAACAAACTATTTAAGGAGATTATTTCAGGAAAGAGAAGCAACACCAGACATTCGAAAAGGAAAGAAAACATCAAGAGGTAATGGACACCATATGCATAAAATGAAAATGGTGAAGAAACATCTCAGTAAGCTGCATACATAAAGACAATGAGACCTAATGACGTGTCATTATAGATTCTATGAGAGGGAGCAGAGGTACAGTCCATTTAGTCCGTACTACAAAATTTTCTGAGTCTGTGGGTACAAGGTAACTTCCACATATCTGGAAAACAACAAAAGTACCTAATATCTAAGAAAGGAGACAGACAGGAAGTATTAAGCTACAGACTAGTATCATTTACATGCATACTATGTAAGGTATTACAGAAGATATTCAGAGAAGGTGATGGAGCTTAATATTATGAAAACAAAAATCCCTTCTCGTGGGTTAAGTATGGAAGATGGAACAGAATATGAGTATCAGGTTTAGTGAGAGGAGCGTCACTAGGATAGGGGAAAAAAAACAGGATTTAACCCAGTTGCTGTGCTTTTGGCGCTCATGAGATGTTAAGTTGAAAATATATAATGTTATGACTCGGTCTGGGCAGACAGCGTTGCTCGAGAAGGGAAAAACGACGCCATTTGCCAGTAAACGTGCGGCACTCACCTCGTTGTATCTGAGTTTACGCTAATCACTAATTTTGTAAAATCTGAGTGAAAAAGGTGATCCAGCATCCAGTTTTCAGATGATGTAAAATTTCCTAAATGAATACAAACCGTTGAAAACCTGGAAGACAACAGATGGTCCTGGATAAACTGTATGACTTGATCAGGCAAGTGGCTACTGGAATTAGAAAATACAAGGTTTTGAAAACTGGGAAGATGACCGTAAAATGAGGAGAGAGTTTTTATTATAAAAAACAGTTCTCTTAATAGAGGTTTATCAAGCTAATTAAATTGAAAATATGTCCTGCAAAAGTGAACTGTTACAATAAGAGTTTCCTCTGCGCCTCTGTCTTTCTTTTATATAACCTGTCAATGAGCACTAGTAACTAATTATCTTATATGAGCCGTCATTGTGCACTAGTACCTAAATATCTTACATGACCTATCAATGTGCACAAGTACCTTATTATCTTATACGACCTGTCAATGTGCACTAGCACCTAATTATTTTAAAGGAGCCGTCAATGTGCGCTAGTGCTTAATTATCATATATAAGCCGCCAATGCGAACTAGTATCTAATTATCTTACAGAGTCGTCAAAGCACACTATTACCTAATTATCTTACATGAGCCGTCAATGTGCATTAATACCTAATTATCTTACATAAGCCGTCAATGTGCACTTGTACCTAATTATCTTACATGAGCCGTCAATGTGCATATTAGTATACCATGCATATATAATTATCTGGTAGGTAGGTCATATTCCTATCTGCTGCGCCTGCTCAGCACGTGAAGATGTTCTACCAGGAGGTGTGGTACTTGGTTTGGTAGCAAGTCATAATAACATCAGCTGTCGTGCTGTCAGCACATGACAACTTCTACTTCAACGTGAGCACAGTGTACAAACACTGACCTTCCAAACACTGTGGCACTAGTTAACAAGTCAGTTGATATCTACAAACAACACAGTGAGGCTAGTTACAACCGACCCACAAAAACTAATGGACCCACACCTTACTAACAAACAGTGTGAGCACTTGTGCAACAAACACTGATCATCTCACAAACAACAACTGTGAGCACTAGTGTAACAAACACTGACCATCTCACAAACAACAACTGTGAGCACTGGTGTAACAAACACTTACCATCTCACAAACAACAGCTATGAGCACTAGTGTAACAAACACTGACCATCTCACAAACAATAACTGTGAGCACTAGTGTAACAAACACTGACCATCTCACATACAACAACTGTGAGCACTAGTGTAACAAACACTTACCATCTCACAAACAACAGATGTGAGCACTAGTGTAACAAACACTGACCATCTCACAAACAACAGATGTGAGCACTAGTGTAACAAACACTGACCATCTCACAAACAACAGATGAGAGCACTAGTGTAAAAAACACTTACCATCTCACAAACAACAGATGTGAGCACTAGTGTAACAAACACTTGCCATCTCACAAACAACAACTGTGAGCACTAGTGTAACAAACACTGACCGTCTCACAAACAACAACTGTGAGCACTAGTGTAACAAACACTGACCAACTCACAAACAACAACTGTGAGCACTGGTGTAACAAACACTGACCATCTCACAAACAACAACTGTAAGCACTAGTGTAACAAACACTGATCATCTCACAAACAACAACTGTGAGCACTAGTGTAACAAACACTTACCATCTCACAAACAACAACTGTGAGCACTGTGTAACAAAACTGACCATCTCAAAAGCAACAACTGTGAGCACTAGTGTAACAAACACTGACCATCCCACAAACAACAACTGTGAGCACTAGTGTAACAAAAACTGACCGTCTCACAAACAACAACTGTGAGCACCAGTGTAACAAACACTGACCAACTCACAAACAACAGATGTGAACACTAGTGTAACAAACACTGACCATCTCACAAACAACAACAGTGAGCACTAGTGTAACAAACACTGACCATCTCACAAACAACAGATGTGAGCAATAGTGTAACAAACACTGACCATCTCACAAACAACAGATGTGAGCACTAGTGTAACAAACACTGACCATCTCACAAACAACAATGTGAGCACTGGTGTAACAAACACTGACCATCTCACAAACAACAACTGTGAGCACTGGTGTAACAAACACTGATCATCTCACAAACAACAACTGTGAGCACTAGTGTAACAAACACTGACCATCTCACAAACAACAACTGTGAGAAATAGTGTAACAAACACTTACCATTCACTAACTACAGATGTGAGCACTGGTGTAACAAACACTGATCATCTCACAAACAACAACTGTGAGCACTAGTGTAACAAACACTGACCATCTCACAAACAACAGATGCGAGCATAGTGTAACAAACACTGACCATTCACAAACAACAATGTGAGCACTGTGTAATAAACACTGACCATATCACAAACAACAGATGAGAGCACTAGTGTAACAAACACTTGCCATCTCACAAACAACAACTGTGAGCACTAGTGTAACAAACACTGACCATCTCACAAACAACAACTGTGAGCACTGGTGTAACAAACACTGACCATCTCACAAACAACAACTGTGAGCACTAGTGTAACAAACACTGACCATCTCACAAACAACAACTGTGAGCACTAGTGTAACAAACACAGACCATCTCACAAACAACAACTGTGAGCACTGGTGTAACAAACACTGACAATCTCACAAACAACAGATGTGAGCATTAGTGAACAAACATTTACCATCTCACAAACAACAACTGTGAGCACTAGTGTAACAAACACTGACCATCTCACAAACAACAGACTGTGAGCACTAGTGTAACAAACACTGATCATCTCACAAACAACAGCTGTGAGCACTAGTGTAACAAACACTGACAATCTCACAAACAACAGATGTGAGCACTAGTGTAACAAACACTGACCATCTCACAAACAACAACTGTGAGCACTAGTGTAACAAACACTGTCCATCTAACAAACAACAACTGTGAGCACTAGTGTAACAAACACTGACCATCTCATAAAAAAGCAATGTGAGCACTGGTGTAACAAACACTTACCATTCACAAACAACAACTGTGAGCACTAGTGAACAAACACTGACATCTCACAAACAAAACTGTGAGCACTAGTGTAACAAACACTGACCATCTCACTAACAACAACTGTGAGCACTAGTGTAACAAACACTGACCATCTCACAAACAACAACTGTGAGCACTGGTGTAACAAACACTTACCATCTCACAAACAACAACTGTAAGCACTAGTGTAACAAACACTGACCATCTCACAAACAACAACTGTGAGCACTAGTGTAACAAACACTGACCGTCTCACAAACAACAGATGTGAGCACTAGTGTTACAAACACTGACCATCTCACAAACAACAACTGTGAGCACTAGTGTAACATTGACCATCTCACAAACAACAACTGTGAGCACTGGTGTAACAAACACTGACCATCTCACAAACAACAACTGTGAGCACTGGTGTAACAAACACTGACCAACTCACAAACAACAACTGTGAGCACTGGTGTAACAAACACTGACCATCTCACTAACAACAACTGTGAGCACTGGTGTAACAAACACTGACCATCTCACAAACAACAACTGTGAGCACTAGTGTAACAAACACTGACCATCTCACAAACAACAACTGTGAGCACTGGTGTAACAAACACTGACCATCTCACAAACAACAACTGTGAGCACTGGTGTAACAAACACTGACCATCTCACAAACAACAACTGTGAGCACTGTGTACAAACACTGACCATCTCACAAACAACAACTGTGAGCACTAGTGTAACAAACACTGACCATCTCACAAACAACAACTGTGAGCACTAGTGTAACAAACACTGACCATCTCACAAACAACAACTGTGAGCACTGTGTAACAAACACTTGACCATCTCACAAACAACAATGTGAGCACTGGTGTAAAAACACTATCATCTCACAAACAACAACTGTGAGCACTGGTGTAACAACACTGACCATCTCACAAACAACAACTGTGAGCACTAGTGTAACCCAACACTGACCAACTCACAAACAACAACTGTGAGCACTAGTGTAACAAACACTGACCGTCTCACAAACAACAACTGTGAGCACTAGTGTGACAAACACTGACCATCTCACAAACAACAACTGTGAGCACTAGTGTAACATTGACCATCTCACAAACAACAACTGTGAGCACTAGTGTGACAAACACTGACCATCTCACAAACAACAACTGTGAGCACTAGTGTAACAAACACTGACCATCTCACAAACAACAACTGTGAGTACTAGTGTAACAAACACTGACCATCTCACAAACAACAACTGTGAGCACTAGTGTAACAAACACTGACCATCTCACTAACAACAACTGTGAGCACTAGTGTAACAAACACTTACCATGTCACAAACTACAGATGTGAGCACTAGTGTAACAAACACTGACCATCTCACAAACAACAGATGTGAGCACTAGTGTAACAAACACTGACCATCTCACAAACAACAATGTGAGCACTAGTGTAACAAACACTGACCATCTCACTAACAACAGCTGTGAGCACTAGTGTTACAAACACTGACCATCTCACAAACAACAACTGTGAGCACTAGTGTAACAAACACTGACCATCTCACAAACAACAACTGTGAGCACTAGTGTAACAAACACTGACCATCTCACAAACAACAACTGTGAGCACTGTGTAACAAACACTTGACCATCTCAACAAACACAACTGTGAGCACTAGTGTAACAAACACTGACCATCTCACAAACAACAGATGTGAGCACTAGTGTAACAAACACTGGCCATCTCACAAACAACAACTGTGAGCACTAGTGTAACAAACACTGACCATCTCACAAACAACAACTGTGAGCACTGGTGTAACAAACACTGACCATCTCACAAACAACAACTGTGAGCACTGGTGTAACAAACACTGACCATCTCACAAACAACAACTGTGAGCACTAGTGTAACAAACACTGACCATCTCACAAACAACAACTGTGAGCACTAGTGTAACAAACACTGACCATCTCACAAACAACAACTGTGAGCACTGGTGTAACAAACACTGACCATCTCACAAACAACAACTCGTGAGCACTGTGTAACAAACACTGACCATCTCACAAACAACAACTGTGAGCACTAGTGTAACAAACACTGACCATCTCACAAACAACAACTGTGAGCACTAGTGTAACAAACACTGACCATCTCACAAACAACAACTGTGAGCACTGGTGTAACAAACACTGACCATCTCACAAACAACAACTGTGAGCACTAGTGTAACAAACACTGACCATCTCACTAACAACAGCTGTAAAAGAAGCTATATTATCCCAATTTGAACATAAAAAAATGAACATTTAAAACACTTGTTTTGTGTCTTTCACTACATAATGTGACTGTGAAGACAGGCAGGAACATGTGAGTTCTTGTTGATTAGTTTGGTTACGAGTTAATATCTTAACCACATTATGGCTTAAAATACAGACATTTATATTTGTTGAACTGTATCTGTCACTTTTAATTCCATAAACTCCACCTTATTCAGGTCATCCTGGAGCGTTCTAGAGTTCTAATAAGAAATTATCTAAGGACCTATTTTAGTGTCATCGGTAAATATACTTTCCTACGACTCTTCTATATCCACGAAAGTAAGTATTTGATCTTATTATTGAAGAATTGAGACACTTATGCAACACATTGGAATCTTTATTGAATCTTTATGTGTTGCATAAGTGTCTCAATTCTTCAATTTGTCGGTTTTCTAAACCTTCATCTCATGTATCTTTTTATTGTTGCAACAATCACGAAAATGTAAAGCTGTGAGAAAAATTCTTAAGCCACTCAGACACCTACGAAAAGTAAATTTTAAGCTTGATGAAGGGCTTCTGAGACTAACTTTTCCTACATAACACAAAAAGATATTACAAAAGTTATCGGACAGCCGGCGGTGTAAATAAAATGAAAGAGTTACCCAAGATGCCAGGTGAACAAAAACATTGAACATAGTGACAGGAGAGCATTTTATTAATGGTTATCCTCTAAATTAATATATGATTTAGTCTGTTCTTGAACATTTGATGTAGTCTTCATCAAGGTTCCCCAGAGTGGTCAATATCATCGATTGTACTAACGAATGGGTCGATAAATGGTTGACGGTTAAAAGGGGGTGAGTAAATGTCTGGGAAGGTGCTCTGTGTTGTGTTTCTGTCACCTTCTACCATTCCCCTTGTCTGTCTCACCTGTCCAGGGAAGGATATACCCTCTGAGAACATGCAGGAAAATGCGCATGTCTGACAGGTTTCTTATACCATTTGATTTAGAAATACAAAATGCGACATTGACTCTCAATTGCAGGAAGAGCTCATTGATACGGCTATGAATCTCGAATCAAAAGATTGTTCAAAAGTAAAAACTTAAGGGACTACTGGAGCAATGTAAACACTGTTGCTAGATACTCCCGGCTTTGTGCAGTGGCTGAGTCATTTTTACTTGCTTTCCCAAGTTCATACATGGTTGAAGTTGGTTTTAATCATGTAAATGCATTTCTAACTAAGCAGAGGAACAGACTGAACCTGAAAAAGCCTGGTGACTTACCACCAAAACTCACCAATCTCCATCTACACAACAGTGTCCTTGTTGACACCCATCAGGTGCATCCTTCCCATTAATGATATCAACATTTCTCAGTAAAAAAAAAAATGTTAAATCTTATGTTTTTCACAATTTAAATATTACGTAGTTTTTTATGAAGTCTTAATCACAATTATTATCATTATCTATTATTATTGTTCGTAGTAGTATTAGTTAAATTAATACATATATTAAACTTTTTCAACGCACCGGCTGTATCCCACCGAGGGAGGGTGACCTAAAACGAGTTTTCTTTTTTAAAATTAGTAAATTATACAGAAGAAGAGGTTACTAACCCCTTGCTACTGGCACTTGAGTCGCCCCTTACAACACGCATGACTGACGTAGGAAAAATTCTTTCCTACCTTCCCACAGAGATGAGAGGAAATAAAAAAGAACAAGAACTATTAAGAAAATAGAAGAAAACCCAGATGAGTGTGTAAATTTATATGTGTACATGCATGTGTAGTGTGACCTAAGTGTAAGTAGAAGTAACAAGACATACATTTTATCCTGTGTGTTTATGAGACAGAAAAAAACACCAGCAATCCTACCATCTTGTAAAACAATTACAGGTTTCCGTTTTACACTCACTTGGTAGGACGGTAGTACCTCCCTGGGTGATTCCTGTCTACCAACCTACTACCACAGGACGGTAGTACCTCCATGGGCGGTTGCTGTCTACCAACCTACTACCACAGGACGGTAGTACCTCCATGGGCGGTTAATGTCTACCAACCTACTACCACAGGACGGTAGTACCTCCCTGGGTGGTTGCTGTCTACCAACCTACTACCACAGGACGGAAGTACCTCTCTGGGTGGTTGCTGTCTACCAACCTACTACCACAGGGCGGTAGTACCTCCCTGGGCGGTTGCTGTCTACCAACCTACTACCACAGGACGGAAGTACCTCCCTGGGTGGTTGCTGTCTACCAACCTACTACCACAGGGCGGTAGTACCTCCCTGGGTGGTTACTGTCTACCAACCTACTACCACAGGACGGTAGTACCTCTCTGGGTGGTTGCTGTCTAGCAACTTACTGCCACAGGACGGTATTACCTCCCTGGATGGTTGCTGTCTACCAACCTACTACCACAGGACGGTATTACCTCCCTGGGTGGTTGCTGTCTATCAACCTACTACCACAGGACGGTAGTACATCCTTGAGTGGTTGCTGTCTACCTACGTACTACCACAGGACGGAAGTACCTCCCTGGGTGGTGGCTGTCTACCAACCTACTACCACAGGACGGTAGTACCTCCCTTGGTGGTGGCTGTCTACCAACCTACTACCAAAGGACGGTAGTACCTCCCTGGGTGGTTGCTGTCTACTAACCTACTACCACAGGACGGTTGTACCTCCCTGGGTGGTTGCTGTCTTCCAGCCTACTACCACTGGACGGTAGTACCTCCCTGGGTGGGTGCTGTCTTCCAACTTGCTACCACAAGACGGTAGTACCTCCCTGAGTGGTGGCTGTCTACCAACCTACTACCAAAGGACGGTAGTACCTCCCTGGGTGGTTGCTGTCTACCAACCTACTACCACAGGACGGTAGTACCTCTCTGGGAGGTTGCTGTCTACCAACCTACTACCACAGGACGGTAGTATCTCCCGGGGTGGTTGCTGTCTTCCAACGTACTACCACAGGACGGAAGTACCTCCCTGGATGGTTGCTGTCTACCAGCCTACTCCCACAGGAGGGTAGTACCTCCCTGGGTGGTGGCTGTCTACCAACCTACTACTACTACAGGACGGTAGTACCTTCCTGGGTGGTTGCTATCTACCAACCTACTACCACAGGGCGGTAGTACTTCCGTGGGTGGTTGCTGTCTACTAACCTACTTCCACAGGACGGTAGTACCTCCCTGGGTGGTTGTTGTCTACCAACCTACTACCACAGGACGGTTTTACCTCCCTGGGTTGTTGCTGTCTACCAACCTACTACCACAGGACGGTAGTACATTTCTGGGTGATTGTTGTCTACCAACCTACTACCACAGGACGATAGTACCTCCATGAGTGGTTGCTGTCTACCAACCTACTACCACCGGACGGTAGTACCTCCCTGGGTGGTTGTTGTCTACCAACCTATTACCACAGGACGGTAATACTTCCCTGGGTGGGTGCTGTCTACCAGCCTTCTACCACACGACGGTAGTACCTCCCTGGGTAGTTGTTGTCTTCCAACTTACTACCACAGGACGGTAGAACCTCCCTGGGTGGTTGCTGTCTTCCAGCCTCCTACCACAGGACAGTAGTACCTCTCCGGGTGGTTGCTGTCTACCAACCTACTACCACAGGACGGTAGAACCTCTCTGGGTGGTTGCTGTCTACCAACCTACTACCACAGTTCGGTAGCATCTCCCGTGGTGGTTGCTGTCTTCCAACTTACTACCACAGGACGGTAGTACCTCCCTGGATGGTTGCTGCCTACCAACCTACTACCACAGGACGGTAGTACCTCTCTGGGTGGTTGCTGTCTACCAACCTACTACCACAGGACGGTAGTATCTCCCGGGGTGGTTGCTGTCTTCCAACTTACTACCACAGGACGGTAGTACCTCCCTGGGTGGTTGCTGTCTACCAGCCTGCTCTCAAAGGACGGTAGTACCTCCCTGGGTGGTGGCTGTCTACCAGCCTACTACTACAGGACGGTAGTACCTTCCTGGATGGTTGCTCTCTACCAACCTACTACCCCAGGGCGGTAGTACTTCCGTTGGTGGTTGCTGTCTACTAACCTACTTCCTCAGGACGGTAGTACCTCCCTGGGTGGTTGTGTCTACCAACCTACTAGCCACAGGACGGTTTTACCTCCCTGGGTTTGTTGCTTCTTACCAACTACCACCACAGATGTAGTACCTCCTGATGGTTGCTGTCTGCTAACTGTACCACAGGAGGTAGTACCTCCCTGGTGGTTGCTGTCTACCAACCTATTACCACAGGACGGTAGTACCTCCCTGTGTGGTTGTTGTCTACCAACCTACTGCCACAGGACCATCTCACATGTACCTCCATGGGTGGTTGTTGTCTACCAACCTACTACCATCGGACGGTAGTACCTCCCTGGATGGTTGCTGTCTACCAACCTACTACTACCGGACGGTAGTACCTCCCTGTGTGGTTGTTGTCTACCCACCTACTATCACAGGACGGTAATACCTCTCTGGATGGTTGCTGTCTACCAACCTACTACCACAGGACGGTAGTACCTCCCTGGGTGGTTGTTGTCTACCAACCTATTACACAGGACGGTAGTACCTCTGGATGGTTGCTGTCTACCATCCTACTACCACAGGACGGTAGTACCTCTCTGGATGGTTGCTGTCTACCAACCTACTACCACAGGACGGTAGTACCTCTCTGGATGGTTGCAGTCTACCAACCAACTACCACAGGACGGTAGTACCTCTCTGGATGGTTGCTGTCTACCAACCTACTACCACAGGACGGTAGTACCTCTCTGGATAGTTGCTGTCTACCAACCTACTACCACAGGACGGTAGTATCTCCCGGGGTGGTTGCTGTCTTCCAACTTACTACCACAGGACGGTAGTACCTCCCTGGGTGGTTGCTGTCTACCAGCCTGCTCTCAAAGGACGGTAGTACCTCCCTGGGTGGTGGCTGTCTACCAGCCTACTACTACAGGACGGTAGTACCTTCCTGGATGGTTGCTCTCTACCAACCTACTACCCCAGGGCGGTAGTACTTCCGTTGGTGGTTGCTGTCTACTAACCTACTTCCTCAGGACGGTAGTACCTCCCTGGGTGGTTGTTGTCTACCAACCTACTGCCACAGGACGGTTTTACCTCCCTGGGTTGTTGCTCTCTACCAATCTACCACCACAAGATGATAGTACCTCCCTGAATGGTTGCTGTCTGCTAACTTGGTACCACAGGATGGTAGTACCTCCCTTGGTGGTTGCTGTCTACCAACCTATTACCACAGGACGGTAGTACCTCCCTGTGTGGTTGTTGTCTACCAACCTACTGCCACAGGACCATCTCACATGTACCTCCATGGGTGGTTGTTGTCTACCAACCTACTACCATCGGACGGTAGTACCTCCCTGGATGGTTGCTGTCTACCAACCTACTACTACCGGACGGTAGTACCTCCCTGTGTGGTTGTTGTCTACCCACCTACTATCACAGGACGGTAATACCTCTCTGGATGGTTGCTGTCTACCAACCTACTACCACAGGACGGTAGTACCTCCCTGGGTGGTTGTTGTCTACCAACCTATTATCACAGGACGGTAGTACCTCTCTGGATGGTTGCTGTCTACCATCCTACTACCACAGGACGGTAGTACCTCTCTGGATGGTTGCTGTCTACCAACCTACTACCACAGGACGGTAGTACCTCTCTGGATGGTTGCAGTCTACCAACCAACTACCACAGGACGGTAGTACCTCTCTGGATGGTTGCTGTCTACCAACCTACTACCACAGGACGGTAGTACCTCTCTGGATAGTTGCTGTCTACCAACCTACTATCACAGGACGGTAGTACCTCTCTGGATGGTTGCTGTCTACCAACTTACTACCACAGGACGGTAGTACCTCCCTGGGTGGTTGTTGTCTACCAGCCTACTACCACAGGACGGTAGTACCTCTCTGGGTGGTTGCTGTCTACCAACCTACTACCACAGGACGGTAGTACCTCCCTGGGTGGTTGCTGTCTACCAAACTTACTACACAGGACGGGTAGTACCTCCTGGGTGGTTGCTGTCTACCAACATACTACCACAGGGGGTAGTACCTCCCTGGGGGGTTTTGCTGTCTACCAATTACTACCACAGGACGGTAGAAACTCCCTGGGTGTTTGCGTCTACCAACTTATACCACGGGACGGTAGTACCTCCCTGGGGGTTGCTGTCACCAATTTACTCCACAGGGGGGTAGTACCCCCCTGGGTGGTTGCTGCCTACCAACTTATACCACAGGACGGTTACCCCCCTGGGTGGTTGCTGTTCCCAACTTACTCCCAAAGGGGAAAAACTTGGGTGGTTGCTGTCTACCAACAATAAAGGAGGTATATCCCTGGGGGTTGCGTCTACCAACTTACTCCCAAGGACGGTAGTCCCTCCGGGGTGTTGTGTTCCCCAATTACTCCCAAGGGCAGGTAGTACCTCCTGGGGGGTTTGTGTTACCAACTTATACCACGGAGGGTAGTACCTCCTGGGTGGTTGCTGTTCCAATTTACCCCACGGCGGTAGTACCTCCCGGGTGGTTCTGTTACCAACCTAAGGGGCGGTATACCCCCTGGTGGTTGCTGTCTACCACCCTTTATAATTCATATTTTTAAATTCTTTTAAAGATTCTTGTACTTTCCCCAATTTATTTTCTTAGCTAATCTTGTACTTAAATTCACTTCATCTCTTGAGTTTTGTTATTTGTTTTTGAAAAGTCACCGAGCATGTTTCCTGGTACATAATTCCCTCCTACAAAGGTCAGGGGAAAGTTTTCTGTAAAGACGTTCATGGTTTATTTGTGATTTATGCCCAATCATGAGATTAATTCAAAACGGCCGCCAGCGGTTACCCTTCTTTGGGGCCATCAGCCACCCAAATTTCCATTTATTTTAACTCTTACAGTTTTGTCTTCTTCCAGATTGGACCCCTTTCTGAATGTTCATTTATTTTCCATTATGTAAAATTACCTGTGTCGTGGGTAGGGCGTTGTGAGGTTCCCTCCCAGGTGTGGTTCTTGAGCAACTCCTGAATACGTACAAGGCCGTTATTGTTCTCGTATATGACGCAGAACTTGTGCCATCCCAGGGTCTTCAGCACGTCCATGTAGGCCTGCCAGGGAGAACCAGAACCAATAACGTTATTATACACATTTAGAATAACATTTTTATATTTCTAATAACTTTTAGGAAGTACTGATTACTGGTAATAATAGACAGGACTATTTGTGTGCCCATAAAAATAGCCTGATCCCATTTATATCAGATGTATAGATCACAAGAGTTCCTAAATTGTACGACAGTTCTATGTATTATTGACAATACCTCATATAAACTTTGGAAAAATTACAGAAAAGAGTGAAAATATAATCAATTGTATGAAAATTCCTTCTAATCTGTTGTTAAACCTCTGCACTAAGTGACACCAGTCACTGGATGAACCCAAGATGAGCTGTGATGTATCACTGGACGTTGCTGTTGCCTTCGACAGAGTACTGCACCAGGGACCTCTGGAAAAACTAGAATTCACCGGCTCTGCACTATGCCTCCACAGTACCTTCAAGCTAGACCTCTAAAAGTAGTTCTCAACGGGACAAACTCAGTAAGACACCCTACTGGTGCAGGTGGTGCCTCGTGGCTCACGTGGTTGCGCACTCGGCTCACACACTGATTGTTCCGGGTTCGATACCCGGTACAAGTGAAAACGATGGACATGTTTCCTTACACCTGCTGTCCCTGTTCACCTAGCAATAATTAGGTACCTGGATATTAGTCGACTGGTGTGGGCTGCATCCTATGGGGTGGTAGTATACCTTAGACAGGGCTGGGCTTTGAAATGAGTTGAGGTAAGACAACAGCTCTTAGTACCTAAAACTGATAGTGTAAAAGATAGGTGTGCTTGGAGCCATTGTTATGGAATATCTACATCAATGACCTTCAACTCATCTCAGAATATGTTGACTACTATACTCTGATATTTACTTATCCAACGATGGCAGGTCAACTTTGCTCCTGAGAAAACAAATGATGAAGGTCTCTAGGCCCCATGATGGTAATGCTGGAGCAGTGGTAAGTATGAATGGAAGAGTGTTGGTACCAGGGGACGAAGTCGATATCCTTGGGGTGAAATTGGAATCCAAATCGACTATGAAGAGCCACGTTGTAAATCTTGTAAACAAAATTGCCAGGATGCTTGCAGCACCTAGACATATCTCGCATCTGCTTGACAGCAGAGGTTGCAAGATCCTGCATGAGACACAAGTAGTCTCATACGTTGAGTATGCTCCACTTTCTTAGATTGCCTGCCCTCCGTCTCATCTGCGACTTCTTCAAAAAAAATAGAGAACTGATCTAGACGGCTCGGTTCTCTGTTCTGGACCCAGCCTGGATAGATTTGTCATTTCAGGAGAGTCGGAGGGATGTAGGTGGCCTTGCTGTTATGTAAAAGGCCAATATTGTCAAAGTACCTCACTTGGCTCCACTAAGAGGAGAGCGAGAATTGAGCTTCACACAAGGTTGCTTTCAGTTTCGATGTTCAATCATCGCGCTCTCTCTCTCTCTCTCATATAAGGTCTTAGTTGTTAAGACTAGTAAGGTATAACAGAATATTTATCTCAGCACTCACTGTGGTAATACTTCTGACGGTAAAATAAGTGCAGACGTGAACCTTTGAATTATAGGCAAATTTTCATGGATATTTAATAGGAAATGTGGACTGAGTTTTTTCCTGACTGAGTAAGTAAGTAAGTAAGTAAGTTTATTCAGGTATACACAAATACAGTTAAATAGAATTATCATACATAGCAGCATATGTGTAGAGAACCTGGGATAACCCAAAAAAGTCAGACAGAGTGACACTGTCACCGCCACCTCAAGTTCTAGCACTACAACAACTATATCATGGGTGACTCATTGTCAACTGACTAACTCAAAGTAGTTTAATTACCTCCAGGATCACGTTGATCACTGCCAATCTTGCACAGTATCATGTTGACTTAGGTATTTGTAAATTGCTGCTACAAATTTACCTAAACTATTGTTAGTAAGTAATGAGTAACTTACAGTAGTGGTTCTCTTATTTGCTTACGTTCTCCATGGTTTTCGTTTATGGCTTGTGAATGCCACGCCCGATAAGTTCGGGTCCAAGGGAGGGGAGTATACGTCCGATCTCTGGGATCAAGAGCCCCTCACGGGCATCAAGAGAACTTCCTGAAGGGGAAGACGATAACCGAAACCGCATCCATTATCTCCGTATTTAAAAGATGAGGTGTGTTGGAAATGGGATAAAATACCAACAAGTTGACGAGTATGACATATGTTCAACAGTTGTTTATCGTTACTGTTGAAACGTATCGCCTTCGAGGCAGACTTCATCAGTCAAATACAGAGGAGAATGTATTGTAGGTAGCAGGAGTAACGGCGAGGTTAAGTTATTTATCATTTACAAGACGTTTGACATCTTCTAACGATTGGTTAAATATTGTTGTTAAGTAATAATCAACTAGTTGGACATGATATTTAATTAGATATCAGAGTATGTTGAGAACCTTACCTTTGTTAGAGTGGATGGATGGGGATAGAGGTTGACAGAGTAGGCGTCTCTGGTGAGTCTAAAGTCCCACCGGTTCTCTATGTGAGGGATCTCCAGGGCGTCACATATAGACTGAACATGGTCTGATGTCTGACCAGACTGAGGTCCGAAGATGGCTGCCACTCCAGACTTGAGCAGTGAACACACTGTCGGAAGACAGTCAGAGGCAGTTACTGACGGTGCTTGTGATGGCCTGCGGTCACTGTCGCTTAGAGATTGTAGAATGATGTATGAGAGTCAGTGACTGCAGAGTGTGGGTGACACATATAAGTCAGTGACTGCAGTTTGTGGGTTAATAATTTTATCGTGGATAAACGAATATTTTGTAAATTAGTGAATGTTGTGATACGGCGGGGGAGGGGGACCCGCTATATTAGGAATTTGTGATTAAAATATCGGTTAGTAAGATTTAGTGACCATATTGTTAGTAACTACTTTAAGTTGACGATTATAGAATGGGTGAGTGTCCCGTGGTCTCTCGCCTCACACAGTGTCCGTGGTTCGTTCCCCGGCAAGGGCGGAAACATTGAGTGTGTTTCGTTACAACCTGCTGTCCCATTCAACAAACAAGCAAATAGGTACCTGGGTGTTAGTCAACTAATGTGGGTCGCATCCTGGAGGATAAGATTTGGTGACCCCAATGGAAATAAGACACAGACAGTCCTCGATGACACACTGACTTTCTTGACTTATCCTGGGTGGCTAACCCTTCGGGGTCAAAAATCCGAAAAAATCTTATTGTAAGCCAGTGACTTAGCTGGGGATAGGTACTAGTGTGTGTTAGTGACTTAAGTGTGTTCTGATGACTGAGGTGTTGGTAACTATAGTGCGGGTTGATGACTTTATTGTGGGTTGATGACTTTATTGTGGGTTGATGACTTTATTGTGGGTTGATGACTTTATTGTGGGTTGATGACTTTATTGTGGGTTGATGACTTTATTGTGGGTTGATGACTTTATTGTGGGTTGATGACTTTATTGCGGGTTGTTGACTTCATTGTGGGTTAGTAACTATAGTGTCGGAATGAACACATATTTTAAATACTTATCAAACTGAAACATGCATAAGTTTTTAATGTTCAGTGTAGAAAGTAAGAATTTAATATTTACTAATAGTGTGGAATATCAGGCCATGATAATATAATGGTAAATAACATTTTAAACGTATATTTAACACATTTAAGAGGTAAAGCAGTCTGTTTATGTTATTGGTTATAGTGTGATGATAAACAGTGTAGGTTATTGGTTATAGTGTGATGATAAACAGTGTAGGTTATTGGTTATAGTGTGATGATAAACAGTGTAGGTTATTGGTTATAGTGTGATGATAAACAGTGTAGGTTATTGGTTATAATGTGATGGTAAACAGTGTAGGTTATTGGTTATAGTGTGATGGTAAACAGTGTAGGTTATTGGTTATAGTGTGATGGTAAACAGTGTAGATTATTGGTTATAGTGTGATGGTAAACAGTGTAGGTTAATGGTTATTGTGAGGCACAGAATTTTCCTCCGTAACCACAATATAGATGTCATCATGATGAACGAGGCGGTGCCAGACCTGACCAGCACATCAAACTGGAAAGGTAACTCAACTCTAGAGATCCTTTTAGTGGAGTAGCTTTACTCATAACAATGGAATTAACAACCTCACAATGTCCATTTCGTAACCAACAGGACCTACGACCTGTTCTATTGCAAGGTAATCTCCAGAGGCAACGTCAGATCTGACCATATTTCAGTCCCGATAAGGTTGTAAACTATTCTCTTTCGGGTACTTCAACATCCAAATCCATCATGAAGACGTTAGACTTAGACCCTTACAGGAATTTCCTGGTCAATGACTAGATCGTAGTGCTATCGAACCAGCTCTCGACCTCATTTGATTTCAGTGTGCGTCATTAACGACAGGAGCAACTTCGGCCTTCTGTAACCTGTCATCTACCAGGGTATTCCAACAATACAAACCAACGAGGGAAATTAGAGACAGAATGAGAAGCAACCAGGCAGAATGAAACAAATGACTGAGACATGCGCAATATCTGGAAATGTTTACTCTGTAGACGTTTCGCCATCCAGTGCACTGCATGACCCTTGTCGGTTTAGCGCTTTCTTTGATTATAATAATAATAATCGCCATCCAGTGCTTTATCAGTACATTACATGGATTTAATCTGAAGACTGTAGAAATGTATACACAAGACAGTGGAAGACGAGGTAACAGGCGGAAGATCGGTGTTTATATACTGGAGTCAATTGAGGTGAAGCATACCAAGGTATTCAAAGGCATTACCACAGATACTGAATACCAATCATGTAGAGAATATATTAGACACTATCAGACTGGTCACCTTTCATTGCTAATCTTTCATTGGATGAGAACGGAAATAATGATTCTCCAGAAAAGACAATTCTGAAAATATCCTGGGCTAAGGCTAACCAGTACAAACGACAGCCTGATCAATTCTGGAGGAAAGTACTGCAGTTCCTGGGAGCCTTATAGAAGCCCACCCAGTATCTCAAATATACTTTCCTTGATGAAGACGACGAGAAAAAGGCTATCAGGAAGATCACCAGTACCAAACAAACCTGTTGCGGGAGAAGTTAGAGAGAAGATTCTCTCTCTCAGCAGTAACCGAAGATTCATTAATGACCACAATCACTGAGTCAACCGATAGAGACATGACAATCTGGCTCACTTCCATCCCCTACCTACAATTAATACAACTGCCATCTAAGATGACCACCAGATTAACCAGACGCACTACACTACGGGAGATAAGTCTGTCCATATTGAAAACAAGCAATAGTTTCCCAGGGCACTTGGGCATGACTGCGAAATAGATCAAATCCCCATACAAATTCTAACAGCCATTAGTGATATCTACAATGCTATCCTGACCTCGCACTATATACCAGAGCTATTCAAGATGGCGAAAGTGATATAGCGAAGCCCAGCAGAGACAAACACTAGCCCGTGAACTTGCAAGATCTTTGAGAAACTAATTTCCAACAGCTTGAACTGCCACACAAAATACCACAACCTCTTTTCTGAGAAGCAGTTCGGGTTCAGGAACTAAAGAACAACCAGACACACCATCAACATCATGTACGACGTTGTCGACTGCCTGAGTAAACAAGACAACCTACGGTTTATTGTAACGAGGGATGTAAACAAGGCATTGGCAGCCTCTGGCAAGATGTTCAAACTGGCTGATTTTCCCGACCACAGAAGACGTAGTAGTATTAGGAGTAGTAGTTTTTGTTGTTGTTGTGGTAGTGCAGCAGTGGAGGTAGTAGTGGTAGTAGTAGTAATAGTAAGGCAGTAGCGGATCTAGTGGTAAAGATAAAACAAGTGGTAAAAGTAATAAAAGGGAGAGTGTAGCAGTGAAAGAATTAGTAACAGTGATTTAAGAAGCAGTGTAAAAGAAGAAGGAAGCAGTAAAACGCTGCTGTGGGACTAGTACATCCCACACGGGAAAAAAAATGGGACAATAATCCTCGTAACAGAAGGAACTAAGGCCAAATACTAGAAAGGAAAACGAAAAAATAAAACAAAGACAAATGAAGTAGGAGAAGAGGCAAGAAAGGTTAGGTCAGATACCGAGAGTTCTGACGATTAGAACATTTCACAACGTAATGAGAGAGGCAGTCACCTACAGGGGGAAAAACAACAGAACTAAGATTGTTAGAAAAGTTGTGTATATAAGGTAATTCATCTAGACAGCGTCTTTGGAGATTAGATAGATGTAACAAAGCACCAGGTAATAAGATGACAGTGATCTCTGGCACGAGAGAAAAGAGCATTGTTAGTGACGTCCGTCAGAAAGAGAGCGGCCAGTTTCACCAAAGAACTGGGGAAGGCAAGAAGTGCAGGAAATGGAGTAAATGATCTTACAGTTCTATAATTTGAAACTCCTCTCTGGGATCACTTTGAAAGGTTTATCATACATAAAATACTGTATCATGATACCTAGATCCTGCGAAGGGCTTCCGTGAATACAGATACTCTAATATCATTTCTAAATCTTACTGAAGGGCCCCACATATACAAAAATGCTGCAATACCTTTTCTAGATCCTCTGAAGGAGTCGTTTGGAGGGATTTCTTCAATCTGTGCAGAGAGCCGAGCGTGAGCCAGCAGCGTCCTGTCGCTGTTGATAGCATCGACGGCATACCTAAAAGCCACCTCTTGTCTATCGTCTGTCAAGTCAAACAGCCCACCTGAAATAACAACAAAAGAGGTGATAATATAAGTAACCAAAAATAAAAATATGATGAATATGATAATTAAAAAAAAAATTTACATACTTCCCCTGCTTAGAGACTTTTGAATGACATTATTTAAAAAAAAAATATTGAACTATTCTGAGGTTGAGTCCCCGCCTCTTACGTCCCCATTAACCACCTCTTGCTCGTACAGTGACCAGATAATTGTTAAAAATATGTTGTTAATTAGACACATGTGCAACATTTGGGTATCATTATTGAAGAAACGTTTCGCAACATAGTGGCTTCATCAGTCCTATACAAAGAAGAATGGTGAAGATAAAAAGACGTTTGAGGTAATCAGTCCCTCAGCCTGGAGTCGATGTAATCAGTCCATCAGTCTTGAAATAAATACAGCATATGCGCGAAGAAGTGGTTTATATAAGAACATAAGAACATAAGAACGAAGGAACACTGCAGAAGGCCTACTGGCCCATGCGAGGCAGGTCCAAGTCTCCTACCGGCTTAAGCCAATGCACCCAACCTAGTCAGGTCAGGTCACATTGACTTAAGGGAGGAACACGGCAACCGACCTGGTAGCACAAGCTATCAGGTCTAACTCACACCCACCCACATCTACTCATGTATTTATCCAACCTATTTTTAAAGCTACACAACGTTCTGGCCTCTATAACGGTACTTGGGAGCTTGTTCCACTCATCCACAACTCTATTACCAAACCAGTACTTTCCTATATCCTTCCTGAATCTGAATTTTTCCAACTTAAAACCATTGCTGCGAGTCCTGTCTAGGCTAGATATTTTCAGCACACTATTTACATCCCCTTTATTTATTCCTGTCTTCCATTTATACACCTCAATCATATCCCCCCTAATTCTACGTCTTTCTAGAGAGTGCAGTTTCAGGGCCCTTAGTCTATCCTCACAGGGAAGATTTCTGATTCTTGGGATCCACTTTGTCATCTTCCTTTGTACATTTTCCAGAGAATTTATATCCATTCTGTAATACGGTGACCAAAACTGTGCAGCATAATCTAAATGAGGCCTAACCAAGGATGTATAGAGTTGAAGAACAACCTGAGGACTCCTATTATTTATGCTTCTTGATATGAAGCCAAGGATTCTATTAGCTTTATTGCGAACACTTATGCACTGTTGTCTTGGTTTCAGATTACTGCTAACCAGAACTCCTAAATCTTTTTCGCAATCCGTAATATTAAGATCTACATTATTTAGTTTATATGTGGCATGGTTATTGTCCTGTCCAACATTTAGAACTTTGCATTTGTCTATATTAAACTGCATCTGCCACTTCTCCGACCACTGCATCAGTCTATTCAAATCTTCCTGGAGTGCTCGAATGTCCTCGTCAGAATGAATTCGACGGCCTATTTTGGTGTCATCGGCAAACTTGCCGATGTCGCCTCTTTATGCCCTCATCTATGTCGTTTATGTAGATTGTGAACAGCAGGGGGCCCAACACTGACCCCTGTGGAACACCGCTCGTGACACTTCCCCACTCTGATTCTCCCCATTTATGCAAACTCTCTGCTGCCTATTTGTCAACCATGCCTCTATCCAGGAAAAAATTTCTCCTCCTATTCCATGTGCTTTAATTTTCCTCAATAGTCTCTGATGTGGGACCCTGTCAAAAGCCTTACTGAAGTCCATATACACAATATCATATTCATTACCATGATCTACCTCCTCAAATACCTTAGTGAAAAAAGTTAATAAATTCGTAAGGCAGGAACGCCCCTTTGTAAAACCATGCTGAGATTCGTTGATTAATTTATGCTTTTCAAGGTGGCTACGAACTGCCTCGGCAATTATTGATTCCATAAATTTTCCCACTATGGAGGTTAGGCTTATTGGTCTATAGTTCGAAGCTAAGGACCTGTCACCTGTTTTGAAAATAGGTATCACATTTGCCATTTTCCACTTATCTGGCACCATGCCAGTTTGTAGTGATATGTTGAAAAGATTAGCCAAAGGTGTGCTAAGCTCCTCTTTACATTCCTTTAGAACCCTTGCATACAGTTCATCAGGGCCTGGGGATTTGTTAGGTTTTAATTTATCTATTTGCCTAAGGACCATGTCACTTGTGACCCTAATAGTGCACAGTTTATTATCGTCCTGTTCTACATAATTTATCATTACTGGAATATCGCTGGTATCCTCCTGTGTAAAAACTGAGAGGAAGTATGTGTTAAAAATTCTACACATTTCCTTATCACTGTCAGTGAGCTGACCCGAGGAACTTTTGAGTGGGCCTATCTTGTCCCTGATCTTACTTCTGTATACCTGAAAGAATCCTTTTGGGTTAGTCTTCGATTCTCTTGCAACTTTAACCTCATAATCTCTTTTTGCTTTTCTAATTCCCTTTTTTTTTTTCTCTCTTTAACTGAATATATCGATTTCTCAATTGCCCCTCTCCTCTTTTGATTTGCCTATATATGCCTCTCTTTTGACCAATCAGATATTTTAATCTATTGTTCATCCATTTAGGATCATTTTTTTTTGATCTGATTTCCCTATTTGGAACATAATTTGAACTGAGCAGCTAGAACTATGCCCTGGAAAGCATCATATCGGCAACCATCTCCACCTACCTGACCCTTAGTCAGGTCATTCCAGTTCAGCCCACCTAAGTAATTTTTCAGTCCTATGAAATCAGCCAAGCGAAAGTCAGGGACGGAGACTTGATTGCCATTATTAGGGGAATTCCATGATATATTAAAACTGAGTGATTTTGTGATCACTTTCCCCAAGCTCATCATTAACCTCAAGATTATTAATTAGTGTTTCCCTACTGGCAAGAACCAAGTCAAGGAGGTTATTTCCCCTAGTTGGCTCTGTCACAAACTGTTTTAAAAAACAATCCTGGATCGTATCAAGAAAGTCACCTGACTCTAAATTTCCTGTCAAATTGCTCCAGTCAATCTGTCTATAGTTGAAATCTCCCATTAGCACAACATTTTCGTATGTAGATGCCTTACGAATTTCGTCCCATAGAAGTTTACTGCACTCCCTATCAAGATTTGGGGCCCTGTAAATCACACCCAAAATTAGTTTTTTCTCGGCCCTCGAGAAGCTGTAAACCAAACAGATTCAGTGGCTGACGCTTCTAATTTAATATCTTGTCTAACACAACAATTTAAATTGTCTCTGACATACATCGCTACTTCCACCACCTTTCCTGTTGACCCTGTCAGTGTGGAATAATTTATAGCCTTGTATGTGACATTCAGAGGGCATCTCTCTATCTTTCAGATTGAGCCAGGTCTCTGTTATAGCAATAATATCTATGTTTCCTGCACTTGCAATTAATCTTAGCTCATCTATCTTATTTCTTACACTCCTGCTATTAGTATAGTAAACCTTAAGGGAGCTAGTCCCTTGCTGCCCTCTGCTGTCCCCTTTGTTTGCTGACCTGATCTATTGTCTTTATTTATAACTTCATGCTGAATGCCTTTTATACATTTACTGTTTCCAACCCAAGTGTTGCAACCTGCTTGTTTCCCACACACACCCATACCTCTATCTTCCATCAGTTTAAAATCATAGGCATTTCACCAATGGCCTTCTCAATCGAGTCTGCAAGTGCTACCACCCCAGCCCCAGAGAGATGTACCCATCCCTTGCATACATATCATGTTTGCCATAAAAGTTGTTCCAGTTGTCAATGAATGGGATTGCAAGTTCCTTGCAGTATCTGTCTAGCCAGCAATTTACACCAATTGCCCTAGACAACCATTCATTTCCTACTCCCCTTCTAGGCAAGATGCTACATATGATTGGGATCCCTCCCTTAGACTTAATGAAATCTATAGCTGACCTGTACTTATCTAGCAGCTCTTCTCTCCTACCCTTCCCAATATCATTTCCACCAGCACTGAGACAGATAATGGGCTTGTTCCCATTACCTGACATGATATTATCCAGCCTGTTGACAATGTCCCCAACACCAGCTCCAGGGAAGCACACTCTATCTCTCATCTTCTTATTCCTATTACAAAAAGCACGGTCAATATATCTTACCTGAGAGTCACCAACCACAAGAATGCGCTTACCTCCATTAGCAGGGGCAGTAGTACCCTTACCTTCACTGGCCACTGAAGTACATTCATCCTGAAGAACAGAGAAGCGATTTCCTACCTTCAGATCTTCACTCTTAACTTTCCTTACTCTGATGCGCCTTCCATTACTGTGAACCACTCGCCACTTGTAGCAGGTGCTGGACTGCACCTCACTGCTGGTAGCCGTTGCTACCTCCCCAACTACAGCCTCCTCACAGCGAGAGACAGACTGCACCTCACTTGAAGCCTCATTCCCCACAACTCCAGCCACCTCACACTCTCTCCCAGACCCATTGAGGTGGACCTTCAGCCTCCTAATCTCCTCCTGGAGAAGCAAGACCTCCTCCTTCAACTCTCCAATCTCAATTTTTAAAACACTGCAGAAGCAAGCCATGCTTTGTAACCGTCCACACTAATCCCCAAAGCAGCTCAGGGTCTGTGACCTACTGTAGGTAGGTGAGGTGCAGCAGTCGAATGGGATATCACAATGGACAAATCCACATGTGGAAGTCGGTTATGACTAGATTAGGCAAGTGAAGAATTCCCTGTAATAAGATCCCAAGATGTTGCTGTGTCTGACAGCAATGTTGATAAATGGTTCAGAGAGCCGACAAGTTGATAAATTAGGCACATGTGCAACACTTGGGTCATTTTTTATAGGGCTGATGAAGTTGAAAATTAGACACATATGCAACATATGGATACCTTTATCAATACAAATTCAAGGACATAACTGGAAGACAGTAGAACTACATACAAAAGATGAGGTAATCAGTCCCTCAACCTTGGAGTTAGTGTGGAGAGCACTGTAGTCGTGGAGAAGGTTGTGTAGATGCCGGTACTGTGTACCATTCATGTGCAACATGTCAGACACTGCAACGTCATGGAATCTTTGGTCAAAGGACATCTACGCAAC